TTATATCATTTTGTTCCTCTAGCTTTGCAAGGTTTCTAATAATACAACTAAATTTTCTTTCATTATTTAGTTTCTGAAAAAATTTGTGAAGTGTCACATAACTAGTGATAGGAACATAAAAAGCTGTTGCAATGTGATTTAGTGATATAAACATAAAAAGCAGTTGCAACTTGCAATGAGATTTTAATCAAAGTGATTTTTATTAAAAATCAAATTTATAAAAAGAGTCAAATGCCAAAGCCTAAAGCCAAATTTTAACCAAAGTGTTGTTTAAACAATTTTAAATTACGAAATGCAATTTTTTTTCCTTTTCTCTTTCTATGTACGGTTCTCCCCTCCCCGTGCAAAATTTGAAGTTATTATTTTATTGTTTGCTTGAGCAGTAAGATAAATGCGAGTATGGAATTGTGCTTGTTGTCTTTCAATGCTTGCAATAGAAAGAACCCACGGGTAAACTTTTAAATGAGATGATGTGACCGATTGTTATTTTAATTTGATTTTGTGTATGCCTGAATCACTAGATCCCTTTTAAAATATGCTTGATAATGAAATTTACTATCAATCTCTTATTGGAGAGTTGGGTAGAGGAAAAAAAAATTTTAACCGAAAATCTCAATTTTTAAAAATATAATTTTTATATTTAATTTGCAATAATATTCAAAAATTAAAATTTTTAAAAAATTCAGTTTCTGAAAAATCTTAAACGCGGATAAGTGTTCTGTTGTGATGACATTCAGACTTGTTGCCTCTTTGCCAATTGAGAAGGTAACAAAGTGGTGTAAAATATGTAGGATTAGAGGTTGCACTTTGGTACTTCACGCAAAAATAGAGAATATAAACTATAAAGGGAGTTCATAAATTTTGTCTTAAACTAGAGAAATTTTAAATGGTAAAAAACACTTGTAAAATTTGGGAAAGAAAATGATATAAGGTAGCTAAAATATATTTTTGTAAAAATAACATAATAGTCATATTAATTATAAACTTTAACATTGTAAAGGAGAGACTTGGATAGAAAAAATATAGGAAGGTAAATAATAATAAAAAAATATAGGGGGTAAGTGATTTAAAGAAAAATCACAAGAGGTATTTGAATTTTTTTTTATAATAAATCTTTTTATAAAATCTATTTGACCTGATTTGAAAAACTGAAAAATTATCTCCCGACAGACATAATTTTCGAATAAGAGGTTGTGATGATCTTGGCGATACCACAGTCCACAGGTGTACACGACTCTAATTATTTGTAAATTAAACACGTTAGAGACACAAAAAATTAGAAAAAAATGTAAAGAAGATAGTGGATTTCTCCGAAACTGAAATTGACTTGTGACAGCAAAATTATCAAGAGAAAAAAATAAAATACATCTGACTTGAAAGTTAAATATGTTACCATTTTTTGTGTGTGGCTATTTTCGTTTTTGGTTCGTTTTTTATTTTATTAGAAAAGAAAACTTATTATGATCTCCTTTTATTTAATTCAAGTGCACAAAGCTAAACATTTCAAATTATTCAAAGTTTCCCTGGAATTATCAATTTTAAAACAAGAGAAAAGTGTTTATTCTTTTAAATGACACAACTTATATCTTTTCACTCTTACAAAGAAGTGGAATCCACACCTTTATTTTTTTTATTAACTTTTTCTCTTTCTCTCTCTTAAAATGACACAACTTTACATCATTTATCATTTAAAATGACACACACTTTTCCCTTGAAACAAAGTGGAAACTGCAACAGTTCGGATAATTTTTCATTTCAAAAATGATTTTTTCATTTTTTTTATATAGACCTTAATTATTTCTTTGAGTTGAGTCTCCCTTTAGATATTCTCATAAATTTTAACTCTTTAGACGAGACTAATCCCGATTTCCCCGTTTTAGTTTTTTTTTTTTGTGAAATAGTTTATTATTAGTTAAATTACCCGTGCTTTACTAGAATTTTTAGGTTTATAATTGATGACAATATGTTTTTATTTAATCAATAAAACATTTAAATTAATAACTTTAATAAAAGAGTACAGTGTAAAAATTTGAAATAATCTTTATTATTCATAAAAAAAAAAAATTAAATCTACTTACAATCTAATAAGGTATCATAGGAGGATTCATATTCAAAATTTCAAAATCATATAAATTAATTTAATTTAATACATTTGTAATAGCATTTAAATGCACTTTTTAATTGTATGTAAGCTATTTTAATATATTGAGTAACTGAATTTCATCTATTTGTTTAAAATAATATTCATATGCGTTTATAGCTATTATAATTTATGTTAACTAAGTGAATTTTTTATAACATATAATATCTATAAATTTCACTCTTTGTTTTTTTAAATATAATTTAATTTAATCTTAATTATTTTTTGATTATTTTTCTTATAATTTTAAATAAAATACTCTCATATAATATTAATATTTAATAGTTCATTTTTTACTTTTTACTTGACACGTTATTTTGTGTGAAAAAATAAGTGTCGGATACGTGTCCTGACACCGACAAGTCGGACACGAATCAAAGTTTTTCGACACACGGCCAACGCTTTGACATCTTCTGACACACTTTACCACATTCGGTCAACGTTCATATAGATCCAATTTTTTTTTTTTTAACTAAACATGAAAAATTAATTTATAAATTAAATATTTTTTGTTATGGAATTTGACATGGAAAATTAACAATAAATAAAAAATTATATTTTCTTTTATATTTATATTATGAAATTTCAATATTTAATCTGTTATATGATTATTATGGGTTGCTATATGTATTAAATATAAATTATATTATATATATTAAAAATATTTTTTGAAATCTAATATTTTTTAAAGTAAAAAAAATATTAATTAATATAAAAATGTATTGAAATTTAATATTTTTTAAAATTAATATATCAAAATATTGTGTCGTGTCGTATTCCGTGTCAGTGTCGATGCAACATAGCTTTTATATATACCTATAAAATATTGATAAACAAGTGATTCTCAATTCAAACCAAGGTAATATGATTTTATTTTAAAATTTATTCGACTTGTTTAAATTTCTAAGCAAAACTATATGAATAATCACTTTAAAACTTTATTGGTTAAACAAATACAAATATTTATAGCTGTTAGTGCAATTAAATTTTAAGACTCAAACTTTTCCACTTTTGAAATATTTGATTAGAAAATTTATTTTCCAACCAATTAAGTAATTCAACCTCTATTGAAAGTTTTGAAATTAGTTAAAAAAAATCTCATCTCTTACTAAGTAAGATTTCTAATTAATATGTTATATCATATAATCATAGAACTCTCGTATAAATAAAATTGAAATATGTTATTTATTGTAATAAAATATATATTATTTAAATGTTATTTTATTAAAATTTATAAGAGTAATATCAAAGGATAGTAGAATTTACAAGTAAGTCTAAGAATAATATTTAAAAGGTTCTTTATTAATATATATATATATATATATATATATATATATATATTTCTCCATTATAGATTAATGTATATATCAAAACATTTTTAATTTATTAAAAATTAATGCACTTTGATTATTATTATTTTGTTGGTGAAACATTATGAGTTTATTTATTGCCAAATAAAGTAGTTCTCTCAGACAGAAAATAAAAAGTAAACTTTTTTTTTTACCAAGAGTTAGGTGGAGTGGTAAGTGAGTCACGTCACATTCTTAATAGAACTCTCGGTGTGTTTGGTACACGAGAAATTTTTTGGTGACGGGGAATCATGATTAATGAGAATTCAGTAGAAATTGAGTTTACTTGGAATCTTACGAAAGATGTGTTTGGTTCGCCAAAATATTACCGGGAATATTGGATAAAAATTAATGATTCCATATTTGGTTTAGAACGAAATATGACTTGGAATATGAGGTTATTTTACAAAAATAACCCCAAACTATTTTTACTTTTGTAATTGATAGATTGGGTCTAGATTTTTATGTGTATTGGAGTATTTTTGTCTCAAGATTTAGTGTTGTGCTTTCCCTTTACTTGGTATTCTGATTGGTATTCCGAATTACCATATTATTTTTGGTAATCTGAATAGTGACTTTTCTTTATAAATCAAATTACCGGTAATCCTTGGATATCCGTGAATCGTAATTTATTCCTTCTACCAAACGTGATAATTACATTTACCAAAGAAGGATTACCGGTAATCCTCTCCAAAAACTTGAACCAAACACCCCCTCAATTTGAAGCGCTATATTCAAATTTCCTGGCTCTTAATCGATAATAGTATATGAAGGATAAGTCTCACAATAGTTTTTTTTTTTTTTTTGATAACATCACAATAGTTTTTTAATAGTTAATATTTGTGTACAATATGATCCCCATTATCTTAAGCTATATGTCAAGAAATAAAAAAATATTTAATAAAAATATAAATATTTAATATATTAAAACTTAAAAAAAGTCAAGACTTATTTTTTTAAGTAATTAAAATAAATAATAAATAATATTTCTATTTCTTAACTTATGTCTTACTTGATAGAAAAATATTAGATCCAAATTTAATGAATTTAATGTTTGTGTTTTTCTCATGGATATTTTTGTTGCCGCACTTGTATAAAAATGAGTGAGTTTCATTAATATTTTTATTTTCTTATAATAGGACAAACTCATTTTTATATATAAGCTTTTTATGCAGCAAAAGAAGATATATTTTTTCAATTTAATACTTTAAAATAAGAAAAGTGTTCAAAATTTCCTTTATTAAATACTAAAAATTCAAAACTTTTAATCCATGCAATATTTGATTTTAGGATTTTCTTATCTTGCTCAAAGTCAATAATTTTTTTTTGATAAATAATGTCAATAAAATTAATTAACGAGAGCATACGTTCAATAATCAAATTTAAAATAAATAAATAAATTAATGTAGACATTTAACGACAATTTTATCTGTAGTTTTTCTATCAATCCAAGGAAAATTAACATTGTTACTTGTCACAGACTCACAAGATCTTTCCACTTTCCAGTTTCAATTTCCATGCCGACAAGTCCCAACTCCCAGGCTTCGATTTTGTTTTGTGCCTAATTCTGAATGCATAAGGTTGTCCAAATTCATTGTTTCTTTTTGGTTTCTTAGTACATCATTTCCAATTATCCCAAAAAATTTCAGTTTTGGCTATATATCCACTGTGGTGTAAGGAACCAAACAACCATGTCTACAGTAGTAGCTATGGTATCTTCTTCCACCACGGTTCAACCCTGTTCTTCCTGGACCTGTGGCTCCTTTCCCATTTCAAAGCTCGCTCCATCACTCTATTTCAAAGCCAGAACCAGAACCAGAACAAGAACCAGCTTAACATGGTTGAATACACAACCTCGTGCTGCTTTGGCTGAGGCAGCAACACCAAGTTCAGCTCCTTCACCTGCACTCAGAAATGGGTCCCTCAAGGTGCTTGCTCTTCCAGGGGATCGTGCTGATGACCTGCAAGCTGAGGCTAGAGCCATGGTTCGTGCTGCCAATGCTTCTGTCTACACCCCTCAACTTGTTGCTTCCAAATATGGTTCTCAACCCTTCAAGGTCCTTCAATTTCTTCCAAGTTTGACTCTTTATGTCAATATCTTTTGTGGGCATGATTTGTTTTTGTGAATTGATTCGACCCTTTGTTTATTGATTAGGTGGTGGGAAGGACCCTTCAGATTCTGAGTGCATTAGGTTCATTTTGGTTGAAGTTATTGTTGGACCAAAGAAATGGAGTGCTTGATCAGAATAGAAAGATTCGTGCAATTGAGCTCAGAACTATATTCACTCGGTTGGGACCAACTTTTATCAAATTGGGTCAGGGATTGTCTACCAGGCCTGATATATGTCCACCTGAGTATCTAGAGGAGCTCTCTGAACTTCAAGTATTGAATTCTTCCCTTTTAGCTCCTTGTGATTTAATTGGAATAGACTTTTAGATTCTTCTGTAATGTAAAGCATGTTCCAGGGTTTGATTGATTTAGTATTGTGTTGAGAGTTTTGATTGGCTCAGTGACTGATGTCAAGATGCAACATAAGAAGCTCTTCCCTATTTCATTTGTGTATATGATTTCTTGTTGGAAATGAACAATGTCGATGCTATCTGATGATAATTTATTTACTGATGTAGTGTGGTAAAGTATAGCATTTATAATGTTTCTGCTATGAATTTGTTTATGAGGGAATTGGATACTTGGGTTGCTTTGATCATTTCTGTGCTTTACCAGGATGGTTTGCCAACATTTCCTGATGAGCAGGCCTTTGCTTGCATTGAGAGGGAATTAGGACTATCTCTTGACTCTATTTACTCTTCGATATCTCCATCACCTGTTGCAGCAGCCAGTTTGGGTCAAGTTTATAAAGCTCAGTTGAGGTCCTCTGGGAAACTCGTCGCTGTCAAGGTGCAACGCCCTGGCATTGAAGAAGCTATAGGATTGGACTTCTTCCTAATAAGAGGTCTAGGGTTTCTCATAAATAAATATGTGGACGTAATCACCAGTGATGTTGTTGCACTTATTGATGAATTTGCACGTAGAGTTTTTCAAGAGCTCAACTATGTGCAGGTTACTTCTTCTGTCAATACCAAAACTGTATTTTAGTTGCAGCCAAGCATGCTTGTTTGCCAATTTTAGCATCTTGGTTTTCCTTCAAGAAAAAAGAAAAAGAAAAATAAACATTGAACCCTTTGTAGCTTTACCTAACGTTAAGCAAAGGGCAAGCATAATATGATTGTATCCTTTTTCATTTGTAATTCAAATCTTCCCTAGGGTGATGTATGCCTCATGTTAACAGACAAAGTTACGTATTTGTAAATTTTTTTTTTTTTTTTTTGGGATTGAATGTTAATTTTGACAGGTTCTTGCAGGAGGGACAAAATGCAAGGAGATTCAAAAAATTATATGCTGACAAGGAAGATATCATTGTTCCTGATGTTTTCTGGGACTATACAAGTGCCAAAGTATTAACGATAGAGTGGGTTGATGGGGTCAAACTAAATGAGCAAGAAGCAATTGAGAGACAAGGATTAAAAGTCTTGGATCTGGTAAACACAGGCATACAATGCAGCCTTAGACAGCTACTTGAGTATGGATATTTCCATGCTGATCCTCATCCTGGGAATCTTTTGGCAACACCTGAGGGAAAGCTTGCTTTTCTTGATTTTGGGATGATGAGTGAGACTCCAGAAGAAGCAAGAGTTGCCATAATTGGTCATGTTGTTCACTTGGTTAACCGAGACTACGAGGCTATGGCTCGTGACTACTATGCTCTTGATTTCTTATCAAATGATGTTGATATATCTCCAATCGTACCAGCACTTCGAAACTTCTTTGATGATGTACTTAATTATACTGTGAGTGAGCTTAACTTCAAGACACTGGTGGATGGCCTGGGAAATGTTTTGTACCAATATCCATTTAATGGTGAGATGTTGCTATGCTTTTCGATTACTTATCATTGACCTATGATTTCATTTTCTATTTAGGGGGAATGATCTTATTGTGTACTTCCATAAATATTTACTGCTTATTCCTAACTTTCTTGCAGACTCTGATCAGTTGGCTTTTGTTTTTCTGTTGTTTTCCCCTTCTGTTTACAGTCCCACCATACTACGCATTAATATTAAGATCTCTCACTGTTTTAGAAGGTTTAGCATTATATGCTGATCCCAATTTTAAGGTGCTTGCTGCCTCATACCCCTATTTTGCTAAAAGGCTCCTAACAGATCCAAATCCATATCTAAGAGATGCTCTTATTGAGTTGCTTTTCAAGGAAGGGAGATTCAGGTTTGAGATGTACTATTATCTTAAATCCATAATTGTTTGAAATGGTTGATGTAGAATAATTTATGTTAGTGCACTTGAATATTCCTTTATCTGGTCCAGTGCAGATGGAATAGACTTGAAAACCTGCTAGTCCAGGGGAGAAAGGACAGAGATTTCTCCGCTAAAGAGGCTTTACAACCTGTCTTCAAGGTATTGTTGAGTCCAGATGGTGAAGAGCTGAGGACTCTAGTTATCAAAGAGGTTGTTCGTGTATCTGAAGCTTTTACTCTTGTGACAATTTCTGATACATACCCGTATTTTCCTGCCTTTGTGAGGACCCTTGTCTTCTATGGCAATGCAAATGGACCCTTCATGATGTCAGAAACGGAAAAGGAAAGCATGATAGAGCTTAGAGATCAAGTGATTAGGATATGGGGACTTCTGCAATCCTCTGATGGTTTTGATCCAGCTCTTTTGCTACCAATATTACAGGTAGCATTTAGGCTTTGCAGCATCATTGTACTTAAGCAAACTATTCTGTCTTCCGCATCTTTGCCTTCTTTTATGCTGTATTATTATTATTTTTTTTTTTTGGGAGGTGGGGCATAGAGTAATAGATCAAGGAATTTGATGATTGAAAAGATGCGTTCATGCAACCAAAATGTAGCAAACTATTACTAACCCTCAATCAGCATTTAAGCGTTTGCAATGTCATTAAGAAATAAGATGATCTCAAAACAGTGAAATGCATAGTTTTAATATAGGAAAGAGATAACATTTGAAATTTACATTAATGAATTAATTTGTTCTAAGTATTTAGTTGAATTGGAGTGAAACTTTTTCAGCCTTAATATAAAAACCTTTTTATTCAAACTTGTTTTTACTTGCAATTGTACAAAAAATGATATTTAAATATGACCAGGTCCTTCAACAACCTGAGGCACGTAAACTTGGGGGGCGTGTTGTGGGTGGGATCTCTCAACGTTTAGCAGCTCGCATTCTTCATCAAGTACTTCAGGTCCCAAGAGCAGCTTCTACATAGATTCTGTGTCACTAGAAAGGCTAGGTAAGGCATGCTTATTACTGGTTTCATCGTCATAGTTTGCAGTGGTAGTATAGTCCATTCGTTTTGATGAGCATGTGTCACACAATGATATTCTCTCCTTGCTTCTGCTAATATTTTTGTTTTGTTTCGTTTTTCTGTCAGGTTATTATAGACAGGGAAGATAGGAGTTACATTCCTAAGTCCTAACACAAGAAGAAAAAAGTAAGAAGTTGATTCTGCAAAAATTGTTTGATTCTCTTGTCAGTTTTGGATCTTCCAATTTGGTCCAAAAAACTGTATATGGGGTTTGCTCATCATTATTGATGCTGTGTCGTCAAGATCAGCATCAAGGCATCATAATATAATAATAGCAATTGGTAAGTCATTGCTCTTACGTGCACATCTTGCGGTTTCTTATTCATTATGCCACAGAGATATTTCGGTAAAATTAACAATTATAGAGCTTGATTCCATATGGAACTAGAATTTGAAGGAGAAAACATGTAGGCTTGGCAATGGCATAAATAGGGGCAGGTTTTTGCCTCAAAATAACACTAACCCACCCTTCCCCATTTTTATGAATATTTTAAATAGAAATTTATACAGTAGTCAATCTAATATGGTTGTAAGTAGTTACTGTTAGTTAGGAAATTAGTTGTTATTTAGTTAGTGTTGATTATTTATAAGAGGATGATAGAGCTATTCCTTTGTAACGACAGGTCATAAGTTCGAATTCAGAAAATAACCTCTTTACAAAAATACAAGGGTGAGGCTGCATATAAGAATTTCCTAACCTTTACCCTCCGCAAGTCGGGGTTTTGTGGGAGCTCTCTTTTACTGTTGACTATTTGCATAAAAAGGACCTAGAGGTTCCAAGTAACTTATTAGTCAATTTTATGATTTGGATGAACTTTCATCTAGGAGTCTTTCTCTCACTTGAAGAGGGATACCAAGAAGTTTTGTTCCTGACTCAGAAGAAACGTAACACTTGAAAAAGGGTATTCTGATATATTTTAGAATTGTGAAATAATATGATACAAAGAGGTCTCTATTTATAGAGACCAAAAACCCTAATTCTTGACCTAATGGGCTTGGCCCAATACAACAAATACTAATAATAATAAAAGACCAAATATTTACAACACTCCCCCTCAAGCTGAGGAATAGATATTTATCATTCCCAGCTTGCTAGTAAGTTCTTGAAATCTATCTGAAGGAAGTCCCTTTGTCAATAGATCAGCTAATTGACGCCCAGTGGGAATGTATGGAGTGGTAATCAACCCGCTATCAAGTTTCTCTTTGATGAAATGGCGGTCGACCTCAATATGTTTAGTCCGATCATGTTGAACTGGATTATGAGCTATACAAATAGCGGACTTATTATCACATAGCAGCTTCATAGGTCCCTCACATTTTATTTTGAGATCATCAAGTACAATTTTTAGCCACAGTAACTCACAAATGCCTTGAGCCATAGCTCGAAATTCAGCTTCTGCACTTGATCTGGCAACCACATCTTGTTTCTTACTTCTCCATGTCACCAAGTTACCGCAAAGAAACATGCAATAACCAGTGGTAGAACGACGGTCAGTCACGGATCCAGCATAATTAGCATCAGTGTAGACTTCTAAAGAGAGATTACCATCACGTCGGAATAACAATCCTTTACCAGGAGTAGCTTTAAGATACTGAAGAATTCTTTCTACTGCCTGCATGTGTTTCTCCTTTGGATCGTGCATAAACTGACTGACAACACTAACAGCATAAGCTAGGTCTGGCCTAGTATGGGCCAGATATATCAATTTTCCAACTAGCCGTTGATATTGTCCTTTATCAACTGGAGGACTCTCCTCTTCAAAGCCTATCTTGTGATTCTGCTCAATAGGAGTATTAGAGGGTTTACACCCGAGCTTCCCTGCTTCTTTGAGAAGATCCAAAACATATTTCCTCTGACTGACAAAAATTCCTTTGCTTGAATGAGCTACTTCTATCCCTAGGAAATATCTTAGTTTCCCAAGGTCTTTGACTTCGAACTCAGAGGCAAGTCGTGTCTGCAGAATCTGTCTCTCCACAAAATCATCACCTGTGATAATAATATCATCAACATATACAAGGAGCACAGTAAGCTTCCCATTTTGGGAGTGCTTGAAGAAAAGAGTGTGATCTCCTTGACTCTGTCTATATCCTAAGGTCATCATAACCTTAGTAAACCTTCCAAACCAAGCACGAGGTGACTGTTTCAATCCATACAAGGCCTTTTTTAATCGACAAACTTTATTTTCCCCCTTCACAGAATCAAAACCAGGCGGGATTTCCATGTAGACTTCTTCTTCTAACTCACCATTGAGGAAAGCATTTTTCACATCAAATTGATTTATATCCCAATTGTAATGGGCAGCAAGGGACAACAAGATTCTCACTGTATTCATCTTTGCAACTGGAGCAAAGGTTTCTTCATAATCAATGCCATAGGTTTGAGTGTAACCTTTGGCGACTAATCGAGCCTTGTATCTCTCAAGAGTGCCATCAGAATTATATTTCAGGGCATAAACCCATCTGCACCCTACTGCTTTCTTTCCGTTGGGTCTATCAATAACCTCCCATGTTTTATTTTTCTCCAACGCATTCATCTCCTCTTGCATGGCTTGAGCCCAATTCCCATCTTTCAAAGCTTCATGTACTGATTTTGGGATTGAAGTAGAATCTAGTGCTGAAACAAAGCTTTTGTGCTGCACAGAAAGATTAGGAGAGGAAACAAAATGGGAGATAGGGTATTGAGTACAAGAGGGACAGGAAGAACAAGTTTTCTTGGAACAAGATCTTTTTCCTTTTCTTAAAGCAATGGGTAAATCATCTGAAGCAGTAGTAATGGGTAAGTCATCCGACGTATTAACATCATGATCAGAAATATGAGATTCAGGACTTACCAGTGGTTCAGACGATTGAGGTTGTTGTTGAGGCAATGTGGGCTGTTTCCTTCTTTGATATACCAATTCAGGTGTCACAATCTTCCGTATCTCTGGTGTATTTGATGTATCAGTCATAGGAGGATCAGTCACAGAAGGATCAGACATAGACACATTAGGAACAGGAACAAGAGGAAGAGACACTGACACAGGTGAAGAAGTAGACCCTGAAGATTCAAAGAAGGAAGGTGATGAGTCTTCTGGTGAGTTATTCTCCCCCTGAAGATGAGGACCTTGGAAAAAGGACTCAGATTCCTGAAATGTAACATCCATAGAAACAAAAAATTTCCGACTTCCAGGGTGATAGCACTTGTAGCCCTTCTTATCAGGAGCATAACCAAGGAAGACACATTTAAGAGCCCTAGGATCCAACTTACTGCGATGCTGTTTATGAATATGAACAAAGACAACACACCCAAACACTCGAAGAGGAAGACTTTGCAAAGTTGGAACAGAAGGAAAAAAAGAAGTCATGGAGTGAATATGACTTACATGATCGAGAACCCGAGTGGGTAGACGATTGATCAAGAACGCTGCAGTAAGAATGGCATCTCCCCAATAGCATTTGGGTACATGTGTTTGAAACAGTAAGGCACGAGCAACTTCAAGAAGGTGACGATTTTTCCTTTCAGCAACCCCATTTTGTTGAGGGGTGTCTACACAAGTAAGTTCATGAATCATACCTTGATTTTGTATAAATTGGGAAAAAGAGTGATTGACATATTCAGTACCATTATCTGTCCTTAGTCTTTTGATATTTTTACAAAATTGAGTCTCAATCATTTTATAAAATTGAAAGAACAGTTGTGGTACCTCAGACTTTTCACGCATTAAGTAAACCCAAGTGACACGAGTGTAATCATCAATAAAAGAAACAAACCATTTATTTCCAGAAGAATGAGGGACCTTAGAAGGACCCCAAACATCAGAATGAATAAGATCAAAAGGTTCAACACTCTTAGTAATACTAGAAGGAAAAGACACACGATGATGCTTAGCAAATTCACAAACATCACAATGAAAAGACTCAACAGACTTAGACAAAAACAATGACGGGAATAAAGATTTGAGTAAACTAAATGGAGGATGACCTAAACGCTTATGATGCAGCCAAATTAAAGAATCAGCAGTTGATTGACCATGAGACATGAATGTGTGATCTATTACTTTATTTGCGGGAGATTGTGACACCAGATAGTACAGCCTACCTTGCTCTTTAGCACTACCAATCGTCTTCCCTGTGGCGAGATCCTGAAAAACACAATGGGTAGGGAAGAAGGTTACAGTACAATTCAAATCTTTTGTAATTTTGTGAATAGAAAGAAGATTCGTGGAGAGTTTAGGAACATGAAGAACATCCTTAAGATGTAAGGACTGCTGTAAGTTTATGTCACCAGAACCCGCAACTGATGTATGTGAGCCATCAGCTATGGATATTGTATGAGTTCCAATGGTAGGATGATAAGAAATAAAGGAGTCAGCACAACAAGCCATATGATCAGTAGCACCAGAATCAACAACCCAAGAATGTTGAAAATCATTACATGAAGAAATGAAAGAATGAGTTTTGGAGCTCATACCAGTCATAGCCAAAGCACTAGTATCAGATGGCTTACTCAGATAATCAAGAATGGTTCGGAGTCGTTCCAACTCATCTGGACGAAATGCAGATTGGGTCTCATTAGGTGCAGGGGTTATTTCAGAAGAAGTAAAATGCGCTTGACCACGCATCCTTGCCATCTTTTCTAAGACAGTTTGCTTTCCATAAAGGCGAAAGCATAAATCCTTGATATGACCTGTTCTTTTACAATAAGAACACCATTGATCATTTCTCTTAGGTCTAGAAGAGGTACCATCACAAAATTTTGAAAAAGAACTCCTTTGAGAAGAGGCCATACTGCACAACAAATGGTCAAAGAAAAGCTCCAAGAAGCCACAAAATCACAAACAAATACTAAACAACGTCAGATCTGACCGGAACAGTAACACAGCCGCCGAAACAGTAACACAGTGACCGGAACAAATACCGGAACAAATACCAAACAACGTCAGATCTGGTCGGAGGCAAGAAATTGGTGAAAGAACAAACTCCAAGAAGCCAAGAAATTCTGAAAAAAATACCAAACGATGTCCGATCAAAGTAGAGAGCACAGATCCAGAACCGGCTTGGAGAGACGATCAGAACCGTGGTGGTCCGCGGCCGAGAACCACCGTCACGCGCTGTCACGCGCCGGTGAAGCTGGCGGCGCGTGGGATTCACGCGCAGAGACAAGGGCGGCGCGTGGAGGCGCGTCTGACCTCCGATGGTGCTGGGTTTTTCAGGCGAAGGTCGTCCGGCGAGCGCGATGGTTTCTGTTCGGAGTGAAGAATCCACCGGAAAAAGGTTACAATCGCGATGAACAGGTTCTGTACGGTGGTTCTGTACGTTGATTCTGTGAACGTTTGCTTATGGTTGTGTAATAGACAAGAAAAAGAAAGAGGAACAGTGAAGCAATGGTCTTCTCGGTCCAAGAGGTCCCCGGAAAAAAATTTCCGGTGGCGGCTGATGGCAGCGAGAGAC